CAGTGAAGAGAGTCACATGAACCGAAAAACCTAGTAGCACTGCGATGTGCTCCCCTTTCTACTCTGCTTGCTCCAACGAATCCACTAACACCAAAACCAGGTAGAATCTTAATCAATAGTCCAATACCCTCAAATTTGACCCAAAGTCAAAGTTGGTAAAAAATTCAATGGTCAAAGAAAGTCAAAATTCTCAGCAGACTAAGTACGCTCTACGTACTCCTTCATTACGCATGGAATATGGAACTCAACCCTAGTACGTGTTGCGTATGCCTTAGGCATGCCCTGCTTACTAAGTCCATCTTACATTTCTTCATTAAGCACATATTCCTTTAATACCTTTTCTCAAAAAATTAGATCTAATGCCAAATAATGTCCTAAATCATAACGTGTCCAACGTTATGACTTTGTATGGCTAGAAAGTGCTCAAAACCAAAACCCTAACTTATTACACAACCCAAAGCTTCGTATCTCTTACATGGGTGGGAGGAAAGGATCAAGATTGCATTTTTATGGTTCTATGCCTACAAAAGCATCTGAAAATGCTACTAATAAGTTTTGGAGTAGCTTATACTCAACTAGACCAATAATATGGGACAAAAAGGATAAATGTTAAGAACTAACTAGATCTAACAAATCATTCACCAAGTTATGAACTTTATACCTCTTGGAGAATGTTTGAGAGGTGCAAATCACAAATACACAAAGCTTGAAGCTTTCCAAGTAACACCACCAACTTCTTTTTCCTTCAAAGGCACCTAAAAGTACACTTTTAGCTCAAAAGGCTCAAATATGTGGTTAGGGTTTCAAGGGAGTCGTTTAGAGAGATGGAGGCTGATAATGGAAGAGTTTTATGGAGGTTAAGGTATTTAAATAGGCTCAAAACCTCGAATTTAGGGTTTGCACTCTAGTCGAGTACGCCCTACGTAACCCATTAAAGACCCGTTTCGCCCTGCGTAATCCATAACTCCCAAATTCCACTTCAACTTCAAACGACCCTAACTTCTTTATTTCAACTCCGTTTTCAGCGTTCTTTATATGTGCAGAAAGGTATTGAAGAGCCCCACAATCCTATCTAACTACTTTTGACTTGAAACATATCGAACTAAAATCCTTAACTCATGACAACAGTCTGAAACATCACTTTCCCATTTTACCCTTTGACTCCAAAACACAAACCAATGGATTGGATCATATAACCAATATTATCAACATCCAATAAGGTCTAAACCCTATCCCCTTGGAGCCTAAGGCCTTTACTTGATCCATTTATTGCCCAAAATCCCGAAATAAGAAACTTCTTGAAACAGGATGTTACAATATTAATCAAGTTTATAAAAATCTAATAAATATAAGGGTTGTTTTTGTAAAATTAGAAAAGTTGGATAAAAAAGAATATACCTAGAATATTCTTTTTAGTGTTAAATATAGTGTAATGAGTTAGAGGAATTTAGTGTTTACATTATCGTTTACACTATAATTATAAATATAGTGTAAAAAAAATAGTGTTAAGGGTTGGAGATTATCTAAAGGATCATGAAAATTGATGATTGGTCAAATGGTTTGGTTATACTTGATGCTTAGGCATCATTGTTGCTACTAAATCATGACCACTATCCATCTCATGATCATAATCGTTTTGGTGTTGTTTTATGTGGTTCCTTAAAGCAGAGTTCACAAGTGTGTGATGTGGTGAAATAGTAAGAATAGTTCTTTTAATCCCAACAATTTTCCCTTGACTTGTGTAAATGTTGCTCAAATTCCTCGTGTTCTTTTCTATTAGAAGTTTTTTGAGATTTTTCAAAAACTTCAAGCCTGCAAATTTACCTCTATTAGGTTTATAGTTCATTGTGAAAAAAGAAAAAGAATTACATAATAAAAAGTTTAGGGTCTTAGATCCATCCAACCCAATTGATGTATTTCTTAGTTCTAGGGTTACACATAAAGAAATATTTAGTGAAAATGTTATAAAAATGATAGGTGATCTTAGTTTATGTAAGCCAAACAACCAAGCATTCTTGAAGTCCCAAATATGCCACCAAGAAACATAAAAAAGTCCTTCTAAAACCCTCTTTACCGCCTCTTGTAACCAAAGAGCCATAAACCAAATCAAACAATCTCCAGACGAATGAACAACAAGAAACGAACCTACTAACTTGCGAAACAATTTTAATAGAAAAAGGAACAATTACAAAACAGGTGAGCAAATGACTCAAGAGCCCCTTCACCAAACGAACACAATGAAGATGACAGATCCAAACTACTACTATCATGAAGAACTCTAGTAGGTGGTTTATCAAGAGCTAACCTCTAAGGAAAAACATTATTTTTTATAGGCACCTCCCTAATCCACCTAGTAGGAGAAGTAAAATTCGATAACATCTTACCATCAATATAAGAACAGATTGAAGCCATCGAAAAGTCACCCTTCCTCGAAATAGACCAACTTCATTTGTCAGGATTAAACAAAAATCAACTGAATCAGTGAGTGACAAGAGACCCTCCCTTTGGAGGCTCTCGGCACCTCCTCTAGGAGAACGCCGAAAAGAAGCCAACAAAGAGTCTTAGGCCATCTTAGACTTGATCGAAATTTTCTTCTCAACCTCCAAATTATAATTTATGGGAAAGTGATTTTTAGGAACCAGACCACCCAACCAAGCGTCCTCCAAAAAAAAGTAGAGGCAACATCCCCGACCTTATTGTTACATAAATGTTATAAGTGCACTCCTGAGGCATTAAGATCTTCCACTGCTTTAAGAATATTTTCCCAAGTATAGCTCCTAAAAGGAGTAGAAGAAGGACCAATGCCACCTGAATTCAAATTATAAATTATGGGAAATTGATTTTTTTGGAACCAGACCACCCAACCAAGCGTCCTCCCCAAAATAAGTAGACACACAATCCCCAACCTTCTTGTTACACAAATGTAACAAGTGCACTCCCGAGGCATTAAGTTCTTCCATTGCTTTAAGAATATTCTCCCAAGTAGAGCTCCTACAAGGAGCAAAAGAAAGACCAATATCACTTGAATTCACATGAATAGCATTAATTACAAAGACACACAAACCCAAAGGCTTTGAAAAAAAACGAAAAAAACCTAATTAAAAAGCAAGGCATGATTAGAGCAAACAAGCTACTAACTCCCAACCCACCAACCTCTTTTTGAGATAAAATTTTCTTCCAACTAAAAATAGACATTTTTTTTCTCATCTGTCTCTACTCCTAATAAAAGTTTATTACTTAAAGCTTCCAAATTAGCTAAAACGCCTTTAGGAGCCATATAAAGCTTCCAATTAGACAGTTTAAAAACCACCTTTTACACCACTTCACGCCAAGACTCCAAACGAGTCATGTTACCACCCACTATAAGACCAAGATAAGAAAAGAGTGTCTTCACGATAGCACAACCAATATGAGTCGCCACCTCCTCAACTTGGAAACTTTACACTCCAATACCTTATCAATTTACTTTTATGAAGATTAATTTTTAACCCATAAGACATATGAAAATAATGAACCACTCTAACAATATTTTGAATGTTAGAATCACTCCATTCTCCAATAAAAACATCATCATCAACATAAAATAAACGACAAACAGTACAGGAGGATTCCACCCGAGATTGATTACTGAAAAAAGATGTCGATCAAGAATACCTTGAAAAGCCACATGAAGACTTTCTATCACCAAAATAAAGAGAAAAAGAGAATGCGGGTCTCCCTGTCTAAGACCTCTAATAAATCTAAATTCTTCAATAGCGGAACCGTTAATCATTACAGACCCTCTAGAACAATGAAGACAACAACGAATCTAACCCATCCACTTATCACCAAAGCCCATCCTCCATAGGATATCATCTAGGAAATCCCATCTTACTAAATCATAAACTTTTTCAAAGTCGACTTTGAAAAACTTACCTGACTTTTCTCTTCCATTTACACCGATTAATAACATCATTCATGATCATCCGGCCATCTAGAATATGTCTCCCTTTAATAAAGGAAAATTGCTCTACCCTAACCAACCCATCAATAACCCAAGCCAACGTACTCGCAAGAATTTTACCAACAGTACAACTTATCATATGAAAGTCTTTGACATTTTTTTGTGTCGTGAACCTTATGAATAAGAGCTATAAACAAAGAATTACAACAAATGGGGGAAAATCTAAAGTTTAAAAAATCAATAAATAAATAACCAGCTACCGCCGCCTCTATTTCCACCGTATACCAAAATCTTCTAATAAACTCAAAAGTAAATCCATAAAGTCCTGACGACTTATCTATCGGCACCACAGTCCCAAACGTCCGCTTGATTCCATTAGGAGAAATAAGCCAATCCGACATCAACATTTGCTCAATACTCGACCTATTATCAAAGTTCTGAAAGATAAAAGGCTAAGATGTAGAAGGCTAGGCAAACCGAGCCATAAATTGATCCAAAAATTACGATTTCACAAGAAAAAGACCCTCAACCTACTCCCTGTTAACAAGCACATCTCTAATCGACATATGCTTCCGTTATTTATTTACTTTTTCAATATATGATATGTTGTAAATGGACTTGTCTATTTTTTTCAAAATATGAGCGATTACTTTTGGATCTTGCAATCTTCTTATATGAAGTTTATTACGGAAACACCTACAAGACCTTTGTTTATGTTCAAGAAATTGCATAACAATTGGGTTTAATTTCTTTGGATTCAATTTGGCACTATATAACAGGTTTCATTTTTTTTTTTTCATGTTTAATCAATTCAATGTTTCAATTTTTCGTGGTCGGGTGAAAAAGATTGAAAGCTTAGGATGTTGGGCCTTTTACTCTTATGTAATTAACCTTATTTTAACATTTATACTTTTTGCAGCTTCTACATCGACCTTTATTATCTTTTTGTTACAAAACAAATTTCTTCTACTTAATTAGAAATATTCCAACATTAGACCCTCAATTGCATCTTGGTGCCTTTCTTCTTGGTTTGTTAAGAACATTATGACAAGATGTATTTTGTTTGAGTTTTAATGATGAATAATGTAAATATGTAAAAGCATGTTGTAGAACATAAACAATTAGGAATTTAGGATCATATGTTTTAAAACTTGATAGAAAACACAAACTCATGCTAAAACAACCCTACGAAATGATTTTTTTTTTTTCAACAAAATCATTCATCTCTTTGAGCTGATTCCATTCCAGCTGAAGAGCTATCCGCAAAATACTCTTGATGCTTAGCATTTATTCCATACTACAAAGATGAAAATCACAAGAACAATAATCTTTTGTTATTTTCAAAAGATAACTATTTTTATAATCATTACATGTCAGCATTAGGGATTACCTCTTGAAGAGCCTTTGACAGGTCATCCATGTTCATAATCAGACGCTTATCCTGTTGCAAAACGTGTAAAAGAATTCACATATTAAGTGCTTAAAACATTGAAATAAATATAAAAACTTTTACCCAATTACTTCACACATTAAAAAAAAAAAAAAGACAGTTTTATAATGTGAATTGGAAGATCTACCTTTTGCTGCTTGTCTTTTTTGTCCCTCACAACGGGTGCTGGTCTTGCCTTGCATTGCCTACAATAACATAAAAAAATAATAAAAAAAATAATAAATTATAAGATATTCATATTAGAATAAAGGAAACGTATCTTAAAAAGCTTACTGAAGAGCTTCAGTAGCAATCTCTGATACAAACTTCTGAGTGGCAACTGCAACTAGCCTTATTCTACAAACACAATGTAAATAATATGATTATGTGAAAGAATATTCATTTCCTTAAACCTAATGTTGTGCAATTATGCAAAGATATGAAAATCAACAAGTAATATGTGGATGCATAGAACATAAGAGATGATACCAGATACCTACAATCGAACATCTGGACATGAAACCCACTTTTGGCTAAGTAATGTTCCACCAGTTCATCAGGAATCTGTACAAAAGAAGAAGAAGAAGAAGAAGAAGAAGAAGAAGAAGAAGATAAGACTATTTTGATAAAGAATTGCTAATAAGTGTAGAAGAAAAACCAGAAGTATATGTTCAGAAATGTTACAGTTGGGGTGTAGTCTGTTAAAGAGGCAAGAAAATCTGTGAGGGCAGTTTCGTCATCGTGTTTAGCTTCATTTGATTGCTGGTTGTGATTCATATTTCTTATCAATCTTTTTCTAATCTGAAAGAAAGAACAGAAGATTAGTTTAAGTAATGGTTTATTCAGATTGTTTTTCAATAAGGACGTATACAGCCTTCTTCCCAGAAATTAAACTTCTGAAAGTCAAACAAACTGTTTTCATATCCATAAGATTTGAAAAAATATATGTATATATGCTACTGTGATTTTATCTTCTCTTGGAAATTCCTTCTCTTAACGTTAGACTTCTGATTCAAATTAGTGGTAATCATGGAGTATTATTACATTTGACATAAGATGCAGTAGTATATTCTTTATAGAAAAGTATTAACAGCCCGTTTTAGGACGATGATCAGATGATTTGCAATTCTTAGGTCTCCAGCAAAAAGATTTTTATAATCACAATCTTCAGTTCAAGTCAGCTGAATTATACTGCGTAGCACAAATCAAAGTGATTTCGGTAATTTCGCAACACAAAGGATACCAATTTTGCATTTGTAAAGTACTAGGTTCCATATTCACCTTTAGGTTTAAAACATTCAAATTCGAGATTAACGCTGAGTAACAAGTAACACAATTATGAAATTGAAACAATGAATAAACATCTTTACAAATTCAACGGCTGAAGAGATGATAACACTAATAAATACAACAAATATTGAACGGATCAGCGAGGTAAAGTTTCAAAGAGGGGGATATAAGAATTAGAGATTTACTTGCACTCGGAAAAGAAGGGAATGGCGATGAGCTCAAGAGGAGAATGAAACGCCGAGCAATTAACAGCGGTCGTCGATACCCCAATCAATCAGACAGGATTAGGGTTCCGGTTAGACGAGACGATGAGACTTGAGAGTGACGATCATCTTCCTTTTCACATATAACGTCCTTCAATGTTTAAAATTTATAAAATAGCCACGTATCTATGAAGTTATTCAATATTTGCATATAACTTTGGGTTTTTTTTCTCTCTCTCAAAATAGACCTTATATTTATAGTTTTTTTCTATTTAAACCAAAAGCTTTACTTTTTCCCTAAAAATAACACATTTTTTAGGATTCTTGTTATTCAAGAGGTATAACCGGTTGACTAAGTCAATAGCCGGTTTCAATGTACAAAGTACAAACGGTAACCCATTATTATACGTACATTTCTTTTTTCTCCACGCATCGGTTCTTCCTTCATTTTTCTAGGTGAGCTTCAAGATATCCAAGTACATATGCAAAATTAGGGCTTTTCTTCGCCGCTTCTCAGTTCCGAAAATTGCACACGAAGAAGGCTATGACATCTAGAAAATCACTAAAATGACTTGGTCTTCTCGATCTCAAGCTTTGTTCAGCTCGATAGCCTTCCTATTTTGTTTGGTCTTCTCGATCTCACGCTTTGGTCTTTTCAGGCCCCAGGTTCAGTTTTCGAATTCCCCCTTTTAGTACACAAACTTCTGAGTTTGTAATTTGTGCATTTTAGGAAAACATGTTTTCTGATTTTGTTTGGCTTCTTAGCTTCCGATCCCATCTTTTAGATGTGTGTGCTAATTTGATGAATCGGTTCTCCATCTATTTTTCTATTTGTTTTCTCATTAAGCACATATCTGTAATTTGCTGAAAACTTTACCAAAAGATTGTCACATTGGAATTACCATTGCCCTAGGTATGTAAATGTTGCTTCTTTTGCAGGATGAAAGTTTGAATTGCAAGTATATCATGTGGATTGATGATGAACTTACAATTCAAAGGTGCAAGGATCTACTCTTCAATATGCACCATGATATGAATGATATAGAAGATGAGATCAAGCAATTAAACTTCAAGTTGAAGAAAAAAGCATGTTTAGAGTGTAAAGATCAAAGAGTAAAGTATGTTAGGATTGTGGCACTCTTGGTAGTTGACTTGACATTAGTCATCTTACTTTTAATGAATTAAGATATGTTAGGGTTATGTTTTGTATGTCAAGATAGTTGGTTATGTTTTGTATGATATAGTTATCCTATCAATGATGAAAGTATATTGCTTAAAACAGATGGTGTAAGTATGTTTCTATATGTACTTTTCTATATATTCTATTTTCAATTTCCAATTTTACCCTTTTAAAGGTTACATTCATTCCTTCTTAAATTTTGCAATTTTGGTAATTAATAACAACCTACTTTCATATATATGATCATTCTAATAAACAAATTACATTTTCAATCTACTAATTCCAAAAAGATTGGTACTTAATAGCAACCTAATTTCATTTATATGTTTATTATACACTAATATGATATAATTTGGTAGATATTTGAAAGTAGAATGTCCTAATGAGAAAAAACAAAAACACCCTTGATAGTTGAAGCTTAAACCTATTTAAATCCTTCCTAACAAAGTAAAACAACCCAATAAAGTACATTGTTATTCAGTGCATCCAAATAAATGCATTTCCAATTAACAGCAACCTACTTTCATTTAAATAAATTGGATTTTCAATCTACTAATTCCAAAAAGATGGGTAATTAATAGAATGTCCTAATAAGAAAAAGACAAAAATGAACGTAGAACATAAACAAAGTACACTGCATTTCATCAGCAGTTTACAAAGGGGAATGTTGATCTAAAGTGGATCAGTTTCTATATGACATGTTGGTGTGGACTTATATATCATTAACACTTACAAAAAGGCCAAATAATAAGTTGCAACAAAATTACCAAAATAGCCATATTAATGGTATTGTACAAAAATACCCCCACCCCTCTACAAAAATATAACCACCTCAACTGTACTAGTCCAAATCCATTGGTTCTATTAGGGTCGAACCAGGTGCAATAGTTTAAGGTACAAAAGTTACTTCAGCTATTGGTGTTTCTTCAATGCCTTCTACTTCAAGTATGACATCATCCGTTGTTGTTACCGCTATAGTTTCAGGGACAAAAATGACATCATCCATTGTTGGTAGTTTCACAATTTTTTGGGTAACATCATCAATTGTACCCATTAGCTTTACAGTTTCTTGGGAAATGTATCCAGACTACTTCAAATCAACAACTGCTTGTGAATATGCACTTGGAACTTTAGATTTTTTTTTATTGGTCTTTTTGAAGTACCTTCAATCTTCTCCACACTTGGCCTTCTTATTTTCTTTTTTTGGTTTAGGCTCAAGCTCTTTTGTAGGATTCTTACATGACTTTTTATTATGCCCAAACTCTTGACAGTTGTTACACTTAACAGTTATTTTCCTAAATTTGTAGTCTCCTTTTCTCACTAGCATGCTTCTTCCTATTTACAGTGAACCTCCCAGGCATCCGCCTAGACATAGGTGGCAAAGGTTTTTCATAAGGAGTCGTTGGCCATAGGTTGCTACCATTCATAGGTTGTAAAAAAGTATCATAACTCTACTTGAATCTTTCACTTGAAAACCAAGGGCTGATGAAATCCTCTGGATTTGTTGATTGTAAAACATTGCAGGTATTGCATGAACACAAGGAATTCCTGATAATTCACATAGTCTACATAAATAGTATCAGGCCTACAAATCTACACAGTAAGACTCATAGGTTGACCTTGCCTCAAATACCCTCCAACACTAGCATTCCCTTCAATCATCACCATTGCCTTATGTTTAGCCCTGTTATATTATTTACTGATAGATAGGGTGATCTTGAATTTTATCCTAATGAATTACCTCAATTCTTTAGGTTTAATAGATGGGTTGAAATAATCTCCTTCATAATATGAGAAGCAATCCACTAAGGGGATACAAGGTGTCTAAAAGTAAAGTTTCTTGAACATGAGTGCTTCTTTTTCATTGACTTTACTTCGACTGTTCTTTCCGTGATGCATACAAATGAAAATCACATTTTTTTTGTCTGTATCTCTACTACATCTAGCAAATAACCTAGTACTTTCAAGTTTCTCAAACCTTAGGGGGTACCCATGGGACACAACGTAGTTAATAAGAAAAATTTTCAATTGAGAAATTTTTTGATCTTCCTCTCCAACCTTTGGTTCCATGAGATTCCAATCTATGGTGGGATCATGGACATAATTGGAGCCACCAATGTCATTCTCTTTGTATTCTAGATGAACTAAATCGTCTACAAATTCATCTTTTTCACCCAAAACTCATATTCATCTTCAAAAAGTTTAGTAAGAAAAGGATATTTAACAGATTGAAAGGAGACAGTTATTACCTTTTCCCTCTCATGGTCCATGGGCATGTCTGACATGAGAATCTCATCTTCAGGATCTTTATAATCAGTGTATTTTTTCTTGTGTTTCTTAGTTTTCTTCTTACGATCGCTATTGGATGCTATAACTTTCTTCTTGAGCGATTTAAAAAAAATGTCCTAGTTTTGCATATCTACTTGTGTATCTTGAAGTACAGTGAATGGAAACCTAGCAAAAGGAAGGAGTATGTGCATACGTCCTTATGGATTGGAAGGATACAATTGGGTTCGTACCTATTGATTACGGTTTGATGTTGACTATTGACTTAATCAACCGGTTATAATATTGACTTATGGATTAGAAGGAGTATGTGCATACGTCCTTCTAAATAACAATGATCCTAAAAAAATATAGTCTTTTTAGGAAAAAGGTAAAATATTTTGTTTAAATAAAATATAACCGAAAATATAAGATCTATTTTGAAAAAAAAAAAAAAAAAAAAAAAAAAAAAAAAAAAAAAAAAACCTAGACTTTCTAATCTATTTTTATATTATATCAGTATTTATTGTTTGATTTGAACTTTTAATTATTTGTAACATCAAACAATAATAATAAGCTATAAAACCTTTGGTTTCAACTCATTTGAACAAAAATGGACTCATTTATATTTTTATCAAAATATGTTAAACAATACTATCCAAAGATTGAAAATCACATAATATATTTATAATTTTCTAAATCTTTTATCCTAATTACTAAATTACCATGTACTTTATGTCAATCATTATTTGATATTTTATGTAAATATATTAAAAACATTGGCATGCGATCAAACATTCTCCCGACCCATTTAACTATTGCATACAAAACACTCGTATTAAGTTGAAGATGTTGCGACTTTTAAATCATTGTCTATTCGATATGACTCTTTATATCTCTTGGGCAATCAGTTCAACATCAACCAGCGAAACAAATTGAAATGAATATCCATTTTTGTCGAGGAAAAAGTAGTTTTTGACATTTGAGTGCTTCGTGTGCCTTCCATATTATATAAATCTTAACCAAAGGTTTAATCGGTGTTCTGTTTAAGATTTGAGAGACAACCTTAGCATCTGATCACCTCACACTAAGATTACATGAAAATATTAGAGACTACCTTAGACCATCCATAATACTCTCTACGACAACAGTCATGGAGAGCTTCTAGATTAGCCACCACGAACCAACTCTGGAGTAGATATCACGATAAAAAAGGAGAGAGAGAGAGAGAGAGAGAGAGAGAGAGAGAGAGAGACCCTCCGTTGTAATTCATGGTTAGATTCACGAATCACCACGACCACGACCCACAACGATGCATCGGGATGGTGTGCACGGTCATGGCTTAGTGGGATGTCAAGTCCACCAAGCAAATTACACCCTTTGTTTGCAAATAAAACGTAATATAATGGTAAAAATGGGTATCGATCCTCGGGGAAATGGTTGTATTCAATCACCAATGTAATATAAAAGAACTATTGTAAATAAACTAACTAACTACAATTAAACTAAAGGGGGGGGTGTTATGATTGCTTGAAAACTAAAAGACTTTAATAACTAAAAACTTGCAATTAAGCAAGAAAGTGAGATGCTCAAATATTGGAGAGAATTGGTAAACCAAGACAATTCAACACAATGAACATTTGTGTGTTTATCATTAGGATTTAACATGAATCTTATCATTCATCCTAAATTGGTTATAGCAATCATGAAGCATGATATGCTAAGATTTCTCATAGGTAGTATGGAGGTTGTAGAAGCCCACAACACACCTTCTTAATCAAAATCAAAGATCCAATTGAAGCAATTAAACCCAATAAGTTGATTAGCCTTAAGAATGAAGAAATTCTCAATTCCTAGAGGATATCAATGCTTACACATCCATAAAGGAGTTATGATTCATAAACTAGAGATGATTTCTACCATCATAAAGCTCTTATTCTAAGTAAATTCAATGATTCAATACTAAACCAAAGAAATAAACCAACAATTGCTTATTACAATGC